TTTATTTTATTTTATTTTATTTTATTTTATTTTATTTTATTTTATTTCATTTTATTTATTTATTTATTTATTAAGAAAACCTTTGTACTCTTTTTTTTTCCTTAAGAAAAGTAAAAATTTTAAGTAGAATGATATGAAGTATGAAAACCACTAAGAATATTCCCATATCTCCTGTTAAATGAGTAAATGATAAATGTTTCATTTATAGATTTTGAACAAGGAAGTTAACATATTCTGCAATTGTGTAACAGGCACAACAATTCAATGCTTGTGGAATTTGCAATGTGTTCTTTGCAAGAGGAAAACTAATCATACGATCTGATGAATTGGTTTGTGAACTTTGATAAATTTGGATAAACAGAGATTCCACTTGAGTAATATTAAGCAGATAGGTAGACAACTAAGAGATGCTACTCAGATCCCAAAATTCAGTTAGCAAACATCAGTGATGTGGAAATCATACATAAGAGATAGAAAGTTTCAAATATTTTATAAAATTCTGCTATTCTGAGGCAGTTGATGAACATTTAAAAAATGTAGTTCATTGTGATGTTTTCTTTTTTTTTTTATATCAACCTTGCCCAGCAATGTGAGGAGTACAATCAGCCTGTGAAAATGCAATATATAGATAATTCTGTTATGTACCTACTTAAACGTAATGGTCATTGATTTTCTGTATTAGACTTTGTGTATTATAATGCATGTAAGTTGGCATGTCAATTATGTAGTAATTTAAAGTCCTGTGACAAAGCTGCAGACCACCCTGAATAGATTGTTGTCTCAATACCTTGTCAAAATTGTACTTAGAGCAGGAAAATTTGGTTGATTGAGACCCCAGGAATCCATGATAAGCAGATAACTGCTCTTTCTTAACATTTTCAGTAAAACCAATAAGTCAACTCCTCAGTAACTATAGAAATAAAAACTGAATGCTGCTGTGGTTATCTTTTCTTTTTTTTTTTTCCTTTCCTTTACTTATGAAAAAATTGATCTGCAAAGAGAAATTTTTCATCTCCCTGAAAAACACGTTATGCCACTAAGTAAGAAAATGTGAGGGGAAACTACAGGAAGGACTTAGAGCTCTTAGAGTGGGTCCAGAAGAGGGCCACTGAGATTATCAGAGGGCTGGAGCACCTGTCCTGTGAGGAAAGGTTGAGGGAACTGGGCTTGTTTAGCTTGGAGAAGAGAAGGCTCTGGGGACACCTCATTGCAGCCTTCCAATACTTGAAGAGAGCTTATAAACAGTAAGAGGAATGGCTGATTACGAGGGTGGATAGTGATAGGACTAGGGAGAAAGGTCTTAAACTGAGACAGGGGATGTTTAGATATTAGGAGGATTTTTTTCACCCAGAAGTGGTGACACACCGGAACAGGTTGCCTAGAGAGGTTGCGGATGCCCCATCCCTGGAAGCATTCAAGGCCAGGCTAGATGTGGCTCTGGGCAGCCTGGTCTAGTGGTTGGTGACACTGCTCATGGCATGGGGTTTGAAACTAGGTGATAATTGTGGTCCTTTTCAACTCAGGCCATTCTATGATTCTATTATTCTATGATTCTATGAAAGAGTGGAACACCTTAACGGAAGAAATAGTTGCTGGTCTGAGTCCAAATTGGGAAAAATCTCAAATTATTGCATAGTGAACCAATAATCCTGGTTATAAGCGAATTTGTCTAAAAATTAGCTGATATGGTAAATAGCAAATGCAACTGAGATTCTTAGTACAATCTGTATTTCACATTACAAGCCATTGGACTTCAAGGTGTAAGTTGGGACTAGCTTGCTTGCTTTCTTGCTTGCTTCTTTTCCTTCCTTCTTTCTTTCTTGCTTGCTTTCTTTCAGGAAACTAGTCTATTGCAGTCAAGAAGCTAGTATGCTTTGTTTTCAATATTGTTCTTACGAAATCCTAATTTTGATCCAATGGAAACGTGAAAGCCAACATGGGATTGCTGCAGATGGATGCAAAGCAAGCATTTCCTTCCCCTTCCCTGCAGGGGAAAAAAAAATATGTCCTTAGCCACTTCTAGCAATAATTTTATTCTCCAGATTGAGTATTACAATAGCTATGTAAATTAGTGATGCAATCTGTCTCATCATCCTGAAATTTTTATCACAACATAAAAATATAGTTTACTAGAGAAATATACTTTAAAATTAAATACATTTTTAAAAGAAGCTAAGTATTTGTGGTTGTCTTTCTGGATATTTGACTTTTGCTTTTATAAAGCTTTGATCCTGTACCCTGTCAAATTATTTTTTAAATCCATTTTTGCAACATGCTTTATTGTTTTTATACAGCAATAAAGATGCGTAACAAAGATGTAAAATACACAGCAAACTATTATAGGTGTTTGGTTTCAAAGAGGATATGTAGATTCCAAGTCACAAGGTGCCTCGTGGTAGTGTGGCAGAGTGTTCAACAATTCTGGGGAATATTGGATATGCAGTTTTTCCCTCTAAGCTGCAGCTATCAGAAATTCCAAACATTCTAGGAGAACTTGAGAGTACAAGGAAGATAAGCTACATTCAAAACCCCTATTTTACCTTTTATTGAGACTGTGGCAGTTGGATGGGGGATGTCTGAATCTCAGCCTTTTAACAGTGATTTCCACTGAACTGCCTAACATGAAAGATACCTGGAAGAGATAATAATAATAATAATAATAATCTTTTTTTTTTCCTAAAAATTACATAAAACGAAGAATCATAAACTAGGTTTCACACCTGTTTATTCCAAACAACCTATGAATTCTTAAGCATTTTTGCAATTTTAATCTGGAGCGGTATAAAATTATAATATTAAACTCATTTGCAGTGCAATGAAAATGAGAACTACATCGCCAATGGAAGGCAAAATTAATCTTAGAATGCTTGGTGTTAATACAGTACATTGTATGTACATAGCAGATACCTATAAGAGCCAGTGAATATTTTGTGATAAGTAGCTCAATTTCTCCTCACGTAGCAGTGTTTGCCATCCCAAAATTTTCTTAATATTTTGCACTTCAACTGTTTTGTTTTGTTTTGTTTTGTTTTGTTTTGTTTTTTAAATCAAGACAGTCTTGGCAACTTTTGGCATATTTCCATCACCATTCTATACATAAACTCACATTACCTAGAATAGCTTTCTTAGCCACTACAGTAAATATCTCAAATGCATAATAAGTGAATGTATTCTAAAGTGAATATTGTGGATTTGGACAATTTTGATGAATTAAAATAGGCATTGACATCATACATATTAACAGTTCCATTGGAGCAGTGTCTTTGTAAAATGTCAATTCAGATAAAGAATAATATCTTTCGTACATGGAACCTTGTGAAAGCAATGCTACATCGCCAGATAGTGTATGTAACAAAATTAATTATGAAAAAGTTATGTAAATTCATAGCAGCTATTTTATTAACATTAACATTAATTTGCACTCGTTTCTTCAAACAGTGCAACGCTTTTAAAGGTTAAGCCACAGAGCTTTCCAGATGCCCACATTAACTCTTCAATCAATACTGATATCCTTAAACCCACCTCCAAGAAATCGCGAATTTTACTCAGCATCTGAAACTTCATTAGTCTGTACTCATAATTGTCAAATATCGCGTATACTCCTTGTCTCTCCACAAAGCAGAGGGTTTTAATCAAATCAGTGCCATCAGACATTGGAATAAGTCATTATTTGAATCAGCAGCTCCTAATCCACGTAGTTTAAATGAGAATCATCCTCCTACTATTTCAATGGTGTCTTAAAAACTTATTGCAATTCTAGGTGATGCATGCATAGTACAGAATGATTTCAATTGCAAGTCATCACGTGCAAAGATATAGAATGCTGGAGCTGGTCATCCCTTCTCTCCCCTTACAAGCAGGATGTGACAGGAGCATTACTCTGTTCTAAGATTGAAGGAATCCTTATTTCCTGAGATGTAAAAAGAAATGAAAATAGTTACTACAGAATTCAAAACAAATAATGTACAGCCATACGTCAGAGATGATAGAAAGAAATTTTAAAATATGCGTATTTAAAGTAAGATCCACTTCCTAATTCTTTTTTCTTGTTACAAAATAGATGAATTGTTGATGCTTATTCAAATCAATTATACAAATTCCCTTGGATTGCAATTATAGACTATTTGCAAATCACACTTCCTTCTGTACTGCTTCGCTTTTTTGAGGTTTTGCTGATATCTTTCTTCAAAATTTGTCTTTTACTCGTCTATTACATTTAATATCACCTCAGGTTGTGTACTATTGTAATCTCTGAAGAAATTATAGGAGCCCTTTTGTAGACTAAATGTCATGTCTTAAACTCAACTGAATTATTAGGAAATGATTGTCCCTTGAAAAAAGAAACAAACAAAAACCAAAAAAACCCAAACCACCACTTTTCTGCCTGGAAAAACAAGGAGCTAATCTTACTGTAAAGCCTCTCTGTACACAGAATTCTGCAAGAACATGTAAATTGACAAGTATGCCTGACTTAAATATGAAAACGGAGTTCATGCTTTCTACTGATACTAACTCCTGAATGAGTTCAAAGAAAAAGGCCTTATCTTTACAGCAAAATAAAAGAGGAACAGGGACCAGTCCCTGGCTCAGAGCTCATGCAGCAATGACTGGTTTTCATCAACAATGCCTGGAGGATATTGTCACAGAGACAAGACAAACTAGATGCATTAGCACATATTAGATTCAGTATGTGTCTCCTCTGGATTCCAGCTGAAGCCCACACATTCAGAAGACATTGCTCTGTGCATATTTTTTTCTCATAAAATGTTTTCAATACCATGAGAATACTGTTGAAGTTCAACACAGTGTTGGTTTTTTTTTATAGTAAGAAATTTACATTATACACTACATGCAAAATCTACTGCTAGTTTGGAAGACTTTGAAGCACTAAGGAAATTAAATTCTGTTCCAATCATATTTTCCTTTGAAAATTTCCCCTGTATTTGCTCTCCTCTGATTGGTGGTTTGGCATTTTTTCTGAGACTTCTTATTGACATGAGTAAAATTTTGCAAGGCAATTAAGCTAACATTTGGCTGAGTGCTGTGGAGGACTTTCTCAAAAGGAAAGGTGTAGCCAATAACCATGTATCATTTTTGTTTTAAAATGAGTTTTCAGAAGGTAAGCTCTGAAGGACATCATAACTTTATCACGTATTTTTAAATAGTTACGTCCCATCTACCTAAGCAGATGAACATGACTCCTGAGAGAGTAGTTTCTGTAGAAAAAAATCTATGGAGATGCACTTTCCATATAATACAGCTAGACAATTTTTTCCAGTATTGATTATCTTGGGAATATGTGAGTGCTTAAACATTTCACTCTCCAGAGTAATTTACTGAGATATACTAAATATTCAGACTCAGTTGAATGTGTTAACCATTAAGCACTCCACTGATTGCTTTGTAGTAGTTGTTTCTGATCGACTTTCGCTTGAAGTATGGCACATTAAAAACATAAATATCAGCTGAGCAGATCTTTGGTGCTTCAGCATTTATTTTACCCCTCATTTTAGACTAGTGTAATGGCTGTTGAACAGCAAAACGAAAGTAGGAGTCTGTCCACGTATTCCCATCTGCATTGGAATATGTGTACCTAGCACTCTCTAGCTACTGAAAGGACATCCAAGCTACATTAAGAGAGATTAGACTATGTAATCCTCTGATGATCAATTCTAAATATGTGTATAAAGTAAATAAGAAAACAGCTAAGATGCCATGGATTTCTCCTTGTAGGTCTGCAGACTGTATACATATCTCTTGATTAGTTTTACTAAAAATTTCAACACATTAGGTGGCATGGATAGATTGTCTGCCAAATTAGGTGCACTACATTCAGTCTCAGTACAGTCTCAGTATCTTCAGAGCACATTATCTTCAGAATCAAAATTGTAAAGTGTCTTGCTTGTTTTCTGTAAAGTGACCATGAATTGACCCCTAATATTAAAATGTGCTAACCACAATCACTTTAAATAACAAAATGGTACAAAAAAGCAATTAACATAAATTAAAACATAAATTTTAAACAGCCAGCTCTTAAAAAATTCTAATCACTTGTCTACTGACTCAAGATCTAATACTGTTGCTGTTGAAGTTAGGTCATATATTATTTTAATTTCTTCCAGCTAGCTTGCTAGTTCCTAGTTCTTACAGTAGCATACGTTACTGCAGCATCTGAATGTCACTCAGGAAATAGCGGGCACTATAACAAATGACCACCTATCCACATTTTTCCTCACTGATCTTAAAGCAATTAGAGATCAGGATACCTCTCGCTCTTTTTCTCTTCTCCTTTAACTTCCATTCCTCATTTCTACCTTAAATGCTATTTTTATTTTACTAGAAAGTGTGTTAAATGGTAGCTTATTTTAGTCTGTTCAGGTAAAAAATTTTGTTCCATTGAGAAAGTGCTGTAACAATCTTTTGAACTTTTCCAATGTTGTCAGAATGACAGCTCCTACAGAAAATAGCTGTGAAATCAAATCATCATCAGGAAGAGGGAGACCCTCAATGAGATATCTCAGGGATTAGAGATCAACAGAGATTAGTTTTGAAGATGTCTGATATGAGAGGACACTTTCAGATGTCATTACATTAAGTAATGTTCCAGAGAGACAAGGTGGTGATTTATTTACTTATTTAATATTTTGGTGCCAATATCGCAAAGAGAGCTATTAAAATATTTTATAATGCCAAAAACGATAACCAATGGAAGACGGAAGAATATTTTTCATTAGCCACTACTGAAAATAACTATTATTTTTCCTCATTTAATAAATAAATAAACAAACAAACAAATAAATAAATAAAATAATTTCCTTATCTGGCAGTCTTGCTTTAAAAAAATGTAAAAAAAAAAGAATACAGGCAGCCCATTTGAGAGTCAAACATTTAAAGTACATTTTATTAGTCAATCAAATAAGATGCAACTTGTTAATGATAGCATCAGAAATGCAAATCAAAGAAAGATGGTAAGAATAATATAAAGACACAAACAAATAGATCTTTAAATTTAGCTTAATTTAAGGATACAAAATCAAGCAGATCAAGCTTATCTACCTCAGAAATATATGCTTTTTGTATATGCTAATTACGACCAGTGAAACCTTGAGTCTTCTGTTTATGTACATTGCACGATTCACAGCACATTTTAGATTTTCACAGTTGTTACAAAAAATCACTCTTAGTCCATTACTTTAATTAATCTTCACTCATTACCAGCAAGGTAGTTGTTTTGTGAGTGGAAAGTCAAAGGAGAAGACTTATAATTAGTGAAGTTTTAGGAGAAATTGTGGGAAACTGAGACATTAAATATTTCCTACCCCTAGTAAAGTTCCTTGATCCATAACAATAACAATGACATCTCTAAATACAACCTTGAAAAAAATACTTCAGGGCTTGGAAATCTGGTGTATAACAGAAAATGTCATTCACCAGCTGCTTTCTCATTTCTTAATAAATTAAGGAGTGTTACCTCAAACATATGGTGTTATAATGATCTAAGTACTCTTCCAAGATTGTGAAAAAAGCACCTGTTGGTATAAAAAAAATATGTAATTACAGAAAGCTAGTAAAAAAATACAAGAAAAACAAACAAACAAACAAACAAAAAACCATCCATACAAACACTGTTTGAAATCAGTGCATTCTGTGGAAGAAAGCCAGCACAAACTACCTGATCTCTCTCTCATTTTTCTATGTATCTTTTATAGCTATATAAGATACACTGCATGAAAATAGAATCATAGAATCATAGAATCACAAGGTTGGAAACTACCTATAAGATCATCTAGTCCAACCGTCTCCTCATCACCACTGCCACCACAAGCACTAAACCATATCTTGCAGCTCCTCATCCAGACGCCGCTTGAACACTGCCAGGGATGGAGACTCCACCACCTCCCTGGGCAGCCATTCCAGTGCCTGACCACTCTCTGAGAGAAATAGTTCTTCCTTATTTCTAATCTAAACCTCCTCTGATACAACTTGTGGCCATTACCCCGTGTCCTGCTCGTTGCCTGGGAGAAGAGGCCAAACCCCTCCTCATCACAACCTCCCTTCAGGAAGTTGTAGAGTGCAAAAAGGTCTCCCCTGAGCTTCCTCTTCTCCAGATTAAACAATCCCAGCTCTTTCAGCTGCTCCTCATAGGACTTGTGCTCCAGACCCCTCACCAGTTTTGTTGCCCTTCTCTGGACACATTGTAGGACCTCAACGTCTTTCCTGCAGTGAGGGGCCCAAAACTGCACACAATACTCAAGGTGCAGCCTCACCAGTGCTGAATACAGAGGGATGATCACCTCCCTGCTGCTGCTGGCCACACTATTTCTAATGCAGGCCAGGATGCCATTGGCCCTCTCAGCCACCTGGGCACACTGTCGGCTCATGTTCAGCCGAGCATCAACCAACCCCCCCAGGTCCTTTTCTTCTTCACAATCATCCAGCCACTCATCCCCAAGCCTATAATGCTGCATGGGGTTGTTGTGGCCAAAGTGCAGAATCTGACACTTGGCCTTGTTGAACCTCAGCCCATTCACCTCAGCCCAGCCTGTCTAAATCCCTCTGAAGGGCCTCCCTACCCTCAGGCAGATCAACACCAGCTCCCAGCTTGGTGTCATGTGCAAACTTACTGAGGGTGCACTCAATCCCCTCATCTAGGTCATCAATAAAGACATTAAACAACATGGGCCCCAGTACCGACCCCTGGGAGACACTACTTGAAACAGGTCGCCAGCTGGACTTAACCCCATTCACCACTACCCGTTGGGCATGGCCCACTAGCCAGCTTGTTACCCAAAGAAGTGTATACCTGTCCAGACCACGGGCAGCCAGTTTCCCCAGAAGAAGCCTGTGAGAGACCATGTCAAGGGCTTTGCTGAAGTCTAAGTAGACTACATCAACAGCCCTTCCCTCATCTACAGACTGGTCACCCAGTCATAGAAGGAGATTGGTCAAGCACAACCTGCCTTTCACAAACCTGTGCTGGGCCTGATCCCCAAAACACCACACACATGCCATGTAATCTCATCCAAGATGATTTGCTCCATAACTTTCCCTGGTACCGAGGTTCGGCTAACAGGCCTATAGTTCCCCGGATCCTCCTTACGGCCCTTCTTGAAGATGGGAGTCACATTGGCAAGCCTCCAATCCTCTGGGACCTCAGCAGTTAACCAGAAGTTCTGATAGATGGCCGAGAGCAGCTCGGCAATTACCTCTGTCAGCTCCCTCAGCACCTGAGGGTGTAGCCCATCCAGTCCCATGGACTTGTGACAGTCTAGACGGAGGAGAAGCTCTCCGACTGTTTCCACCTGAATCGCTGGGGGCATATTGTGAGCAGGGTCCCAGACTTCCAAATCAGGGCAAAAAAGGCCCAGAGGATAACTGGTCTGGCTATTAAAGGCAGATGTAAAGAAGGCATTGAGGACTTCAGTCTTCTCCTTGTCCTCAGTGACCACATTCCCTGCTGCATCAAGTAGAGGATGAGAATTACCTTTGGTTCTTCTTTTGCCGTTGATATCTTTATAAAAGGATTTTTATTGTCTTTTACTGCAGAGGCTAACCTGAGTTCAAGCCGGGCTTTCACCTTCCTAACTTCCTTCCTGCATACCTTAGCTACTTCTTTGTAATCTCCCCAGGTAGCCTGTCCCTTCTTCCAGAGGACATAGACTCTCTTTTTCTCCCTGAGTTTCAACAGTAGTTCCCGGCTCATCCACACCAGTTGTCTTCCTCTGCGGCTCGCCTTACGGCACTCAGGGACAGCCTGTTCTTGTGCCTTTAAGATTTCCGTCTTGAGGAGCATCCAGGCTTCCTGGGCCCCTTTACCCTTAAGAAGCGACTCCCAAGGGACCCGCCCTACAAGTGTCCTGAACAGATCAAAGTCCTCCCTCTGAAAGTTCAAGAAGTTAGTTTTGCTGGTTACTCTTTTGACATCCCCAAGAATGGACAATTCTACAATTCTGTGGTCACTCTGCCCAACACTGTCCCCAACCTTCACTTCTCCCACCAGTCCTCTGTTAGCGAAGACCAGGTAATATATGTAGTATACAACTCAATTTTCTTATAGACACACTTTTATTCTATTAAAAATTTAAGTAAATAACAGAAAACTACATTAAATATGAATTAAAGTTAAAAATATAAGATGAAACCACTGTGAAATTTTTAACAGAAATATTTAGTAATCATAAACACACTTTAAAATTAAAAAAAATAGTAGTTCTAGATGTTGTGCTTAAAAATTATGAATACTGACTCTAATAATCTGTAAACTTGCTAATATCACCCTACAAAGCAAGAAATGTTCCCTTCAATAACAGAATAGCTAAAACAAACAAACAAACAAAACATTTGCATTATCTGCCAATTGAGAAAGGACAATGAAAAGTAGAGAAGAGAAAAGAGCACCAAATAATGCAAGAATTCCGTAATGACAAAACAATAATATAGGCAGGTATTAGCGTATTTTTTGTTGAATGGGCAAAAAAAACCCAAAACTGTTAATCAACAGAACAATAATTTCAAGCTTTCAGTACTATTATTTTCCCAAATATATCAATAGTGCACACCTTCCAAGCCTGTATCTTTCTCTCAGCAGTCACATGATGAAAAATAAAAAAATGAATTTTTTTTTTTAACTTATGATTGCATTCATGTCTACATGAAGTCCCAAATTGTTATTGCTGAAGAGCTGAATGGTGTTTTACTTAGGATTCATTACTGAATTTGATTAGCTGATATGTTGAATGCATTTGTGTATTTAATACATACATTTAGATGTATAAGTATGGTTTCTAACAAAATTGTAACAAAACCAGTCACTAATAATATGAAGCTGGCTAGGTGGATTTTAAGGGAGGTGAATCTTTTTCTATCTCCTGAGTCGTGCCTCCTCTAGTCAGTAGGGGTCATATCCTCAATGGAGTCATCCAAGACTCAGAAGAATAATACACATCAAATTATTGAGAGATTTCTTATAAACAACTAATACTCAGAGGTAAAATTGGCTAATTTGATAATGATGATTAATAAGTGTTACAGATATGACAATTTTTGGCAACAGCTACTACAAGGAGTGAAAGCAGAAAAGAAGAGAAAAAGATTAGAAAACAGGGAAAGACAGACAGAAAAACAGGCATACGGATGCAGATACACAAACATAGCACAATAGAGCGGTTCACTACTCTTTAATCCAGTGATGTCTTGGTCATGCTTATGTTTGGTAGTGGAGAGTTGTCCAAGATTGCAGTGTTAAATTGGTGACTAACGATAGAAACTGTCCACAAAGTGTTTCAATTGTCTAGTGTTGATTTGAGACAATGCATTCCTTATCAATCTCAGACAACAATATCGGTAAAAAATGCTATACTGGACACATAACAAGTAATCTATTTTTTTAAAAAACAGGAGCTACTTGATATCTTAGTTGTCATCAGGAGATCTGCATAAACCTTGAGAGATGGGCCAAAGTAATAATAATTAAAACTAAGATTGCTATAATTAATGACCCTTCAGAAAAAAATGTGTTCAGCTTGTCATGGATAGGAAAAAAAGGAATAAAACTTAGTTGACTTATGGAAATTATTTCTAAAGAGATAAAACTTCAAAAATTACAACAAAGTCTACCAGCATTGAGTTCTGATAGTTGACACATCAAATCACGTTCTCATGATCAATTCATTATAGTGATGAGTTTTAAAACTGCCATCAAAATTTGAAATCTCCAGTATCCCTCAAGATTTTAAATTACCCTGGCCTAATAGTACATAGTTCAAAGAATATAATGCATAAATCAAATGTTCCTACTGACTTGGTCACTGCTCAGATCACAGGTTAAATGTTGTTTTCTTTTTTCAGTTTAGAAGATAAACCATGGTGCATGTCAGTAAATATGATTTTGCCATTAGTAGTAGAAGGCCATAGACTTTGCACTGACATGACACTGAAGGTTGTCAAACACGTTTGAGCTTGCCCTGGCCTGGTTGTTTTTGCCTCATCAGTACAGCCAGGGGACTTCAGGGAGCAGTTAATCTCATCCTGTGGTAGACATTTGAATTTGTCCTGTCAATTCATGATTGCTTTAATTATATTTTTACAGATTTATCCTACATACTGTAGATGTGTCCCATAGCTTTCGTTCTGAATTCACTGCTACTAGTTGTCCTTGTGACAAAGTAATGTAACCAGTACTAGGAGACAGAATGCATCAAAATTATTCCAAGGCATATCTAGATGTTTCCTGATAAAAGAACAGAGGCAATGTGTAGGCAGCATGAACACAGCCTGAACCCATCTCACTAAGAAACAAATACAGCTACTCAGTACAGAAAGCCAGGTCTGGAAAATTTCCTTGACTTTTAGGCTCTTTGGGTTTGCCAAATTCAAATAAGTTGAAATATAATCAGAAGAAATAGCAACACTTGCCAGAGCACAAGGCTGTATTATGACTTTAAAATATCTTTAAGAATCTATAGCTCAGATCCTATAATTTGTAATAGATCTGCAGTCAATTTTTGGCAAATTGAAATACGTCTATATATTTTCTTTCCTTGTTATCACATTTTTTACTTTTATCCAAATTTTTATCTTCAATTTTCTATTTTATTTCTAATTACATAGAATGGCTTTGTGTGATTTGTATGCTTTTTGTCTAATTGCCATACAATATCTCCCCAAAACAGATGTTTACTATGCAGTGAAGTTTAGCTATTTGATTCCTGATAAATTCAAAGAGCAGTGCACTACTGAAATCCTTGTTTGAACAGTTATGAGGAAGAAATGAAATAACAAACTTCAGTGTCTACGAAGAATCTTTGCTGTTCAACTCGTTCAGTATTCAATGGCTCATCTTGCTGAGCTGCAACTTGCGTGCTTCACTGGGCAGTGTAGTATCATAATTGGCACTGCTGGTTAACTCAAGAACCATCATCCATCAATTCACAGGCCCCAGTATAATATGAAATGGGATGCAGCATGCACAGTTGTTTTCAAATTAGGAAGGAAGGAAAATTCTGAGAAAGAGAAGGATGCACCATTAAAAAAGCACCTTAAAATAAAAACCTCTCAATTCATGTTCTGAGTATTGCTTTTAGTCTCCAATCAAATAAGTGGGTCTGAGGCTCCTTTGCTTCATACAGTGTACTTTTGTTTACTTGCCTGGAATCCAAAGAAAGAGAAATGGTTGAATAATGAGAAATTAACAACCAACCAAACAAAAAACACATATCACACAATCTGTGTTTTTTAAAATTTTATTTGGTTTTGTGAATTTGTAATTTTTGTAATTTTGTAATTTTTTAAAAGAATACTGTCACGGAGTTGACCAGATCAATCTATGTCCGTGACAGGGGCAACAGGCCTCTGCCCTCCCCCCCCACCCCACTCCCACAAAAAATGGGAAGGGAGGAAGGGAGGAAAAGAGCAGCGGCAACAATCTATGGAGGAAAACTTATTTTACTACAATATCGGAATACAAGATAACACAATATAATACAATTTAATTGAAATTGAGGTTAATAAATCAGACAAGATGAGAGTTCCCAGGACCGAGTCAAACCTGAAAAGCTTGGAACGGCTAGGAAAGCACCTCCAGCACCCACTGCAAGGCAGCAAGAGAGCGCCCCCCCACCCAGAAGGGCCAGATCCCGTGACTTCTGTAATGTACAGGGATAGGTACCTGGAATTGGAACATTAACACTTTAAAACCCTGTACACTACATGATGTTTTGATGTGGAATACTGAAACCCAAAAATAAAGAAAAACATAGAACCATGACAAATACAAAGGATGTAATAATTTGAAGGAACAGTATACTTGTATACACATCGTCTGAAAGCATTACGTAACAACAACAAAATATTCAAGAATGTTTCCCATTTTATAGCTGTTGGATATGAAAACAAAATAGTGTAAGTTCTGAAGCCGTTAAAGAATCAAGTTAAGAACATTAGACTACAAATTATTGAATATCTCATCTGTGATGTCTGTGTACTTCTGTATTTCTCCTCTTACTGAAATAAAAAATGTATTTGTCAATCATTAAATGAGACAGTAATTCAAAAAAAAATCCAAACATTCATGATTAAAGATTTTGAGAAAATGAACTTTCAGATGCTTAACAAATGTTTCTGAATTTTGGTGTAATCTCTATTGAATGTTAGTGCTTCAGTTTGTGTACACCACATAGTTAGGTTGTGAATTTTGGTTTTAGTTTAGGTACAATATTGTACAAAGTGTTTGGGATGTTGAATATATAAAGAAGTATTTAGAGACAGATGAGAAAAGGCAGAAATGTGCAGTAGGTTGTACATTAATAATGAGGAAGAGAGATTGAAGTGAATTTTCAACAGTATAATTTCTTTACTTTGACACAGCACCATATATACATCCATGTCCTGTTGGCTTGGTTTTTTACTTAGATAAATTTGTCAGTTTTTTTTTTTTTCTCCCCCAACTTTTCCCATTTTCTTGGTTTACCTAACAGATAGCTAAGTCAAACCATACTCATTTTTGCAAAACAGTCTTGTGCCTATGACACAGTGTCAGGGCTCTAATGGAATGACCAGCTTCACTGCTCCTGCCCAGTCCCTGTGACTTCCCCCCATTTTAGCCGTTGTGGCTGTCAGTTGCTACTCTAGCAATGCTGCAGCAGGACTGATCTCCAACTTTCCATAGGCTTTGTTCAGCCATGGTCTGTGTTGAGCTGCACCCCACCTCATGGCTTTGGCATATTTCACTTCATTTAAGAAATTACACTGCACGAATCAACTTCCAAGTGCACCTACACTTCTGTAAAATAGCTAATCTCTTATTCAAAGTTAATAAGACACAGTCAGAATATGATTTTTCTCACTTTATTTGAAATCCTCATGGACACCGAAACTGTGCTGTATATATCTACATAGGCCCTGTATGATTAGATGGGATCCCATTATCTGTATTTCACACATACATTCTTTTGCAGAACACTCGCTCCTTCTCGGGTACTGAAATGCATTAAAATGAATTAAAAAAAAAAAATTAGGGGATTAAGTAGAAATTAAGAGGAGTTTCAAATGTAACATACTTTTAGTAATAAATCTCTCTCTCTCTCTCTCTGACTGACTGACTCAGTTCCGTGTAAAAATCATGAGCCACATGGTGACAAAAAACTCAGCAAACTGAAATCCTGATAATTGCCAATGGCTTCATCTACTGCTTCTTTGGTGGTACCATCCAAAGTATGGTACTTTTTACCATCCTCTGTGGGAACTTTGAGTACTAATATACTCCCAGTGTTTTCTAGTTCAGAATAAAAGACGACGGCAAATATGAATTCCGCCTTTTCTGCTCTGTGTCTAGAAAATGTACAATGACTCAGGAATATTTTGCTGCATAGATACCACAAAGCATGTGGTGATGGTACCTACTTCTGTTCTTTAAGCATCCCAAAAACTTATGATGTGTCATCTATGATAATAAATGCAACAGACTGCATTTGGTAAAAAATATATTCTAGAAATATAGCTCAGTGTTCTAAAGTAATTACATAAATGTGAGTCACCTAACACAATTACAGCTTTATAATGTGACATTTCAGAAGCAAGAAATCTGCATGTGACTGTATAAGAAACTTTGAAGATATTTAAATTTACATCATTCCTTTCATTTCTACTTCTTCTTTAGATGTAAAATGGTCTTTTTATAGCCTTATCTTCAGTTTTTAATTTTCAAGGTAATGTTAGCATTATCTTTCAAATAAAAAGGATACACAACTCATATAAATGATGAATAAAAGTCCTTTTCCTACCTCTCAAAATAGGGTGCTATCTGTTTTAGGCTTCATGATATAGCTTACACCACCATAATTCCTGATTACTCATGACATTTTGTCCATTATAGAATGAGATTCCTTGAAAGGTAGAAATAATTATCCAGAAGTAGAGTTTAACTGATAATCTGTTGTTGGAGAAATCAAACTGGTGTAATGGATGAAACAACAATTACAACATTGGTGGTCTACTAAAAAAAAAAGAAACAAAACTTTGAAATTAATGTACCACAGATCTCAATGATCTTCTCAGTTGTCTTTGTCATTTCTAATTCATGAAGCAAAGCTTGTTAGCAGCTGTATGGGAACTGCTGAGTCATGGCCTGAACCTCTGATTGATCACCTGAGGAGAGCAATGAGTCAGCTAGAGGAGCACAGGTGAAAGCAATTCACCTGTGCTGCTGGAAGGGGTGGAGCCTGGTCCCATTTAAGAGCTGGCTAACGCGGGGGGGGGATCTTCTCTAGAGATTTGCATTGCTGGAGATTTGTAAGTGAGCCTAGGATACAGGTAAGTTTTCTATCTGTTTTCTTTTTGTTATCGTAATCTGCTTTGCTGAACTCTTTTGTTTCTTTTATTATTATTGGATCAATATTTGTTGATTGTACAGCAGTGGAAAAATGAAATTAAAAAAAATATATGCTTTGTTTGAATGCCTGGTAAGAATTATGGACCGTAACTTATATGTGTAGAATGTACAAATTATCACTGGAATTATGGTTTCATAGAGTAGTTATTGATAGTGTAGGAGTTACTGTAGTGGTACTCATGAGGTACTATGTCAAAGAAGCTTATTAGGAGTAAGAATATAAATAGTTTCATTTTAGCCCATTTTTAAGTATGCATTAATATTTTTCTTAGTCCAAATAATTTAATTGCTTATTTGAATGAAGAAAATGTCAGTGTAATACACATAATCTGGTTCCTAAGCATGATGTGTAAGTATCGTTCTTACTTCTAAAGCAGCTAAAAAACATTGTTAATTAAAATTATTTTATGCCTAGTAGGGGAATTTAGACACTTGTTTGGGCTTCTAAAAATATAAAGTATTGACACGTGAATGCATTTGGGACTTCCCAAGTGAAACTGTAGACTCCTACAACATCCAGAAAGGAAGCAAGAAGGATAAGCACAGCAGTATACAAGGTGGAGAAATAGATGAAAAGAAATCAGATACACAGAATTTAGAAATGAAGTGTCAATGAAAATAAGGTATCAGGTTAAAAGTGATAGGGTGAGGATATATGTGTGAAAATATAAAAGATAAAACGAGACTTTTAAAAATAAGTTACCTAATTTGAGGAATAAAATCTGAGGAGAAATGAAGATATCTATATTTTAAGAGATTTTGCTATAAAAACTTCTGACATGAGTTCTGTCTTCAGATAAAATGCAGTGAGAACTGTGTACAGTCAGAATTTGACCTTTTTCTTTACTATTTTAGGTGACTTAAAAATATAGACAGATCATAACAACAGAAGATGGAGGATTATAAGCATAGCCTGTTCTCTCTCCCTCTGTTCTGCCCACTGTTAGTTCTTACCTTCTTCAGTTCATTTTGTGCTGTGCATTTGTTGTATCTGGGAAGGTTACTGAGTCCTACAATCAAAGCTGAAAAAGAAAGAGGTGCTAATCAAATGCACAGAAAATGTTTCAGCTTTCTTATGAAAGAGCACAAAAAATTAATGGAATCAGTTTCTTTTTTACTTTCACTCATATCATGGTGGTGGTCAAAATTCTATGAATTTTAATTAAGATAACATATTTTAACTAAAAATAGCATTTTTTTTTTTCTACTGCATGGGAAATAAATACTGATCTCAAAAATAAAAGAATTGCACAAGAAAATAATTTTTATAAATAAAGTGTTCAGTGGAGCAGTAGCTGTGAACTTCTTTGCATTTAGATCTCTGCTCAGTTAACTGGTCAGAGGAGAAATGCTCTTCTCTTCCCTGAAACAAAAGCGATGATTAACTGGAAGATATTCACTCTGAACAGTGACTGCCAGCATGAAGGTTCAGCACAGTGGCATCCAAATATCACTGTGAAGAAATTAAATCCAGGTAAAGTCTTTCACAGGTAACTTGGAGAAATATTATTTCTTAGATCAGTGCAAGAGGGTTTTTTAGGAGAAAATATTTATGTCCCATATGATCATAGTCATTAGAGTGTTCTCTTGTGGAAGGAAGGAAGATGCTTTCTCAGTGTTTATTGTGTAAGTTAGAGAAAATGAAACACATAAAGAAATGAATTGACATCTCCAGGAAATAAGTTGGTGTATGAGTATTAGAACAATACTAAGGGAGGTATACTGTTAAATGAACCCCCAAGGACAGGAAAAAGAAACAGAAGTGAAAACTTGTATGAAGAGATAAGGAGAGCAAGCTAGGTTAACAAGATTGTGCTTATGGATGATTTGATTTCAAACTATTTCAACCTCCCTGCTATTAATTGGGAAATCTCTGAGGCATACTGTAGAATGGAGAAAAATTGAAAGATCTAGGATTTATAAATGATTGCTTCCTTGAACCACAGTGTTAACAGCCCAACAAGGAATAGTTTCAGCTTAATCTAGATTGAATTTTAGCCAGTGGCTAAGGTAATAGTGGTAAATTATTATGTATTTGTATATGCTCATGGTAAAACAGAAGACAGTAAAGACAAATGTCCACAGTCCACAATACAGTTTTGTTGTTGTTGCTTTTTTTAAATAGTGTAATTGGCAATTGTCTCGCTCCAATTTATAGGAGGGAGATGAGGTTCTTTAATATCTGTATACCCGGTGTGAGATTAAGAAACAACGGTTCATATGTTGTTGCATCCAGTTTATTACTAAGACCTAATCAGGGAGACGGGGAAGGGAAGGAGTGCGATAGAAAAGATGGAAAAGAAGCAGGAGTTGTGTAAAGCGGGGATAGTCACCAGCAGGATCCAGCAGCGGTCCCGTTGCACGGTGTTCGAAGGTCCCAGGCAGAACGCAGCAGAAGACGGGGAGCAGCAGCGTGGCCGGCCTTGGGCAGCAGGCAGGTAGACAAGGAAGTCGAGGAGCCAATTCTTGAAGCAGCAACAGCGGTCAGGCAGCAGGCTCAGGGGAGTTCAACAGTATGCAGGAATCCCTCTATCTTCCGGAATTCCTCTCTCCTTCAGGAGGAATCTGCTGCCAGAAATCCTCCGTTCGTCATGAGGAATCTGTTGTCAGAAACCTTGCGTTCGTCATGAGGAATCTGTTGTCAGAAACCTATCCTCACGGTTTTCAGTTCCTATTTATCCTCCTTGTTCTCCTGCCTACGTGACAAGGATGGGCCTCGAGCAAGAGTCATTGAGTACCCCCTGAGATGGCCATCATCCGGAGATAAGTCCACACAAAGGAGCACTTCACAGCTATTTAGCTGCAGTTCATCTCGCTCTGGTCGCCCCCGGCCTTGCCCATCTGCGTTTCCCCAGACAAAGGATTTCACAACCTTTGCCTAGGGCTTGCCTGGACTTGTCCATATGTCTCTTTAAGACAAAGGTTTTCACCGTCCTTGCTCGGGACTTGTCTGGACTTGAACAAGTCCGTTGGTGTCCCCAGCAAACTTTGAGACACAGAAGTTAACAGTATAGTCTCTTACAGCAATTGTATACAGAAAGAAAACAAATGAGCATATGAAAGAATTGGAAAAATGAAATAAAATATAATGATACAGAAAAAAATGCAAATAGTGAAGTGAGAACCAGTAGGTGCTAGAATCAAAGAAACTTCAGTCTAATTTGCACTACTTGATAATATATTGAAACAAATAAAATACTACTGTGACAGTTTACCTATAAGCCATTCATTTAAAAGTGCTTTGACATATATGCAATTTTAAAATGTAGTTCATGTGTGTAACAGCTTAAAGAGTGGAGACAGTGTCATCCTTAGTTACAACTATGTGTGGTAGACTGGAAACAGTATGAGGAGGTGTAAAGAGGGATGAAGAGAAGCAAAACTGGGTCATTGTTATAAGAACTGAACAGGCTTTGTGTTCATCACACAGGTCTAAAGCAGTATTCTAATTTCCCTCTTGTGTCATAACTATCAAAGCACAGGTGTATAATTCAACATCGTTAGCTCTACAACATAATATTGTAAATAAATAATAAATAATATTAAATTCTATACCCTAAAGCTTAATAACTGTTTTATGATCTTGATGAAAACTAGTGAGATCAAAGTCTGCAGAATCTTTAAAATCTAAATTACACTGACTGAAGAAAGCAAAGTTTTGTAAATGCGCATTGAGATAAAGGCAGTTGTCTGTAAGGAAAAAAGTGCTTACTGATTTTTTTACTTTACATTTCCTGTAAGTTCTACAGATGTTTTGTTATTCAAGAGATACTTTCTTGCTGAAACCTGAATTAATGGCTAATGAAATATGTAGTAGCAAAATTTATAAAGTTTTTTGTTGTGTAGCAAAGCATTCAGAATTGTGAGATCTCTGAAAAGTTTATATCTTATATATTTTATAATGTCTCTATATTGCCTGATGTTTCATTCTGTATATATAAAAAAAAAGGAGTGAAGATATTTGTAAGAAAGAAAAGAAAAAGTAGTTTGAACAGTGTAGAAAAAGAGGAGTTTTGAACAGTGAATTGAGGTCTTATCTGAAAGTAATGCCTCCTATTTTATTATGTTGGCCCATGATATCAGAGAGATATTGATCATGTGGCAGTAGAGGTTGAATTTTTCCTCCTATATTCCGTTACATTTTGTTGCTGTGTGACAGATGGCAGAAGAGGGACAGTCTGACTAAATGGCATCTGATATGGGAATGCATATGAAAAAAAAATGAATAACTGAATACTTCCATGCAGAAAAATTGTACCCACTGATATTCACCGATGTTTGCCAAATGTTTCTGGAGACCAAACAGTGGGTGTGAACACAGTGAAGTGGTAGGTGGTGTGTTTCAGCAGTAGCAACAGCAATATGAAAGGCAAATCATGTTCTGGATGACCATGCATATTTTTAGGAGCGTTACGTGCAGACTATAGTTCTTTGCTGATGAAAAACATAGTTAATAATGAGCATGTTGGAAAAGAGCATGCAGCTGATAATTTATTCTATCAAATAGTGTTATTGTGCTCTGTGTATCTGTTGTATGTTTCGTGAAAATAAGTAGGAGATGGTACCCCCAAGAAGAGGCTGCTCTGGCGAAACATGAACAGAGTCAGAAGTGATGGTGGTAGTTTAAAACCCAGTGTAATCTCAATTTCAACAAAGACTTTGAGAGAAGTTGTCAAAAAAAAAAAAAAAAAAAAAGAATGTTTGTCCAGAGTTAATAAGCTTAGCTTGCGAAAACACAAACCTGAACGATTATCTTCCCCTTCTTCCCCCTCCTCCTTCCCTCCTGCTTCTTTGCTGACTTTTTATTTTCTCCCTTTTCTTTTCCTCACCACCATGGAGGGTCACCTATGCTTCATTTCAAGCAACCTTTGAGTCACGGGGTGGTGTGAGAATCCTTCTCTGTTTTTTTTTTTGGCTCAAAGCTTGCTTCCTGAGGTATTTCTTGTGATAAGACTCTGAGTGATTTGTTGAGGAGGCAACTAATGGGTGCTAACCGTGTGACAATGGATATCGCTTTGGGAACATTTGAAAGCCCCTTCCCCCAGAGCTGCTTGCTCTATAGAAGAGCGGATGAGAGTGCTCAAGAGTATTTACTGGCGGAAGATCTGGCCTGTGACAAAACAGCTTCAGCTAGGTGTGGGAAAACTGGGGAACGATACCATCGATACCATCGTGTCCCGTGAGAAACAGGAGGCAGATGGGCACCCCTGCTCCCTCTTATCTGCTGGCAAGGCCCGGAAGATGGGAACAAAGGAGTTTCTGCTGAGATCCCAGAGCCAGAAGCTGCCACTCCAAGGAGAGCTGACTCGACCACCAGGAGGAAGAAAAAGACCCCCTAGCAACAGCCGGATCATGCGCAGAGACAAACTGCATAAAAGGATCGTGCACTGGTTCAAACCTCGCGGCAGTTGGTGGAACGCAGAGTCCCCTGTCGCCCAGCGCTGCATTGCCTCTTTGTTCCTTGCTCATTATAATTAATAAATTCAATAATTGACTCCTTAACTTTTGGTCTATTATTCTACCTATAACAAAGTGACTCCTGAGCAGAAGCTCAAGCTGGGGGATCTTTCCCAGACTGGCTGAACAACAGCAAAAAGTGCAAATTCAGAAGTGCAAGATAAAGAGAACACCAGCCCCTTACTCTCAACAGAATGCATGAAGCTCTGATGTAGCATGTGGGGAGCCAGGAGTGACAGAGATACACCTCAGAAAGTACAAAGGCAGATTCTAAGGAGCATGAGCAAACAGATTGGGCAAATGGGAAGTGGCAGTCAGTGGAGTGGGTACAGCAATCTGTGGCAGTTCCTGCAGGGAGGATTTGTACTCTGAGGGTTAGAGAGGGGACTTCAATATGTCATTATCATCTTTTAAATACAGGGTTATCACTCTCTGATAACAGAGACCTTCATCTGTGGATGACATCAAGCTGTGTGATGCAGCTGACACACCTGAGGGACAGGATGCCATCCCAAGAGACCAAAACAGGCTTTTAACAATGGGCCTAGATGAACCTCATAAGTTTCAAAAAATCCAAGTACAAGGTCTTAAACCTAGGTTGCAGCAACCCACTTCATCAATACAAGCTGGAAGACAAAAGGATAGAGTGCAGCCCTGCCAAAAGGGATCTGGACATGGAGTTGTCAATGTGCTCTCGGAGCCCAGAAAGCCGACTGTATGCTGGGCTGCAGCAAAAGAAGGGTGGTCAGAAGGTCAAGAGAGGTGATCCTGTATGTCTTCTCTGCACTTGTGAGATATGAATTGGAGTATTGTGTCCAGATGTAATGTCCTCAGTACAAGAGAGGCATGAACCTGTTGGAGTGTGGCCAGAAGAGGGCCACAAAAATGACCCAAGGCATGTAACACCTGCCCTGTGAGGACATGATGAGAGAATTGGGGTTTTTTAGCCTGGAGAAGAGAAGGCTCTGAGGTGACCTGATAGCAGCCTTTCAGTACCTAAAGGCAGTTTCTAAGAAATAAGGGGACAGATTTTTCAGCATGTCTGTTGTAATGAGACAAACTGAAAGAGGAAAGATTTACATTTGATATAAGAAAAAAGTTAAAGGTAGTGAAGCACTGGAACAGGTTGCCCAGATCTGTGATGAATACCTATCCTTGCAGACATTCAGGGTCAGGCTGGAGCAGTCTCTGAGCAATTTGATCAAGCTGTTGGTGTACATATTCAACGCATGGAAGTTGGACCAGCTTTACCTCTAATGGTCCATTCCAACTCAAACAATTCTGAACAGCAATGGAGTACTCCTGAGAAACTGTCCTTGGCTGTCTGAGTGATTTTTAAAGTGACTTATGTGCATTAACCAAGAGGTTTTAGAAGAATAATTGAACCTTGCTATCATACTGAACAATAGCAGTATGCATAGGTGCAGGCATGAGATGGAAGACCAGTAAGTATTTTCAACACAGTTACATATGTCCTGAAGAAAATTAATCCATTACCCTTGTATACATACTTCTTTCTAAGTGAAGAATGTTCATACAATCAAAGCATTCTGATCTTAAAGACTCTGAACTCAGTTCATTGCAGGCAATGCAAAAATAATTTAATAGGTCTGTACTTCATTTCTCTAAGTGAAAAATTAGATAACACTATTTCTCTTTCCTTTATCTACTTTAGTTATATAAAAGTTATGTTCTTTTTATCAAGATATGCCCCATCTCATAGCTGTATATGTTATAGCATGGTGAGAGTCTAAATTGGTGAGAATCTCATAATGCTATTTTGTCTAAAAATATGGAATCTTTTTCCAAAAAAATTTTATGCCCTGTTCATCATCTCCAAACACCAACATTGATAAGTTAAATGATTAATGCCTAATATATACACTTTGAAATATGATACTAATATAATACCTTGAAATAGTTATTAGAACAAAGACTGCAACAGAAGAGCAAGAAAGTTTTTGTTTTCCAAGGGAGAACAAAAAAACAGCCACTGA